AAAAAAAAAAAAAAAAAAAAAAAAAAACTCAAATCGATCATTAATCGACATAGGGTTATTTAACAATCAAACAAATTGAAATTCCTCATGCAATACCAACAAGTACCACAAATTGATCATTCATCAAAATGAATCACATAAAAAAAGATTTTCCTCCATTTTCTTAGTAATAAAACAAACAGGAAAGCACACAGAAAAAGAATCTGTAAAAAAAAAAACAGAATAGAGAAAATTAAAACGAAGCAAATGAAGCGAACCTGTTACCCACGAGATCCAAACAGAGTCGTAAGTGTAAGAAAGAGAGACGGAAATCTGCTCTGGCTGGAAACCCTGGACGCGGCGGCGGACGCGAGGGTCGGTACCGGGCAGATCAACGGCGTTGCCTCGGAGGCTGACGTCGTAAGGAACAGTGACGGGGACGAAGGGGCCATCCAAGGTGGATGGAATCTTCTTGGCGCCAGTGCGGGAGACGGCGAGTGAAGCAATGAAGCAAGCGGTGAAAACGAAGGATGGGAAAAACGTCATCGTTAGGGTCTATCGATTTCCATGGAGAGAGAAGAAAAGGAAAAACGGAGGAAAATGGTTGGAGTAATTATATATATGTTTCGTTTCATATACGGTTAAGAGTGGTGGTTTGTGTGGCGGTTGGAATTTTTTTTTTTTAATTTTAATATGATTTCAAGATTTTTGTACTCACAAGGGTAGAGTATTTTTTTCAAATTTTTATACAAAAAGCTTTAATTTACAAGATTTGATATGTCTTTTTTTATTGACCACAATGGATTGATTTAAGAATGCAAATTAAAATTTATGTTTTGTTCTTAAAATGCCAATATCTATAGTGGTTTTTATGGAAGTATTCAACATACCAAATTTTTTTTCTAAAATTTGGAATATACAAAAAGGTAAAATTCAAACAATGAAAATTTTTAAGTACTTTTAATTAATCTCATCTTTATATTAATTTAGGCTAAAGGCTCAAATCAACCTTAAGTATGGGGCATGGATGACAAATTGATGCTTAAACTAAATATGGGAACAAATTGTTCCCTAATCGTGTTGTTTTGAACTTATGATTCATTATTTAAAATATGACATCACTACACATTAGCAATCCATTAACCTTATGCTTTTATGGCAATTTCATACACACTAAAAGCTTACTTATACCATTGCTACTCTTTTTTTGACACCATGGCATTTTCCCTATCTTTTTCCCTATTCATCTTACCAAGGTCTTGCTTGAAAACTATTTTTTTCTTGTTATGATTTATCCCTTTTCACTTTTGCCCTCTATTAAGTCTTTAAATTTTGGGGTTAGGATTGTTTGCAAATCTCACAATTTCTCCTTTCTCTAATTTGCTCTAGAAATTGGTCGAAGGAAAAGTTTTTATGGGTGTTTGCAAGTTTAGTTTCAAGGAATCACCATCAACTTCTTGAATTGAAGCTTCTTGAGCCTCTACTGGTGCAAGGATAGTGGTGAGGGATGGTAGGCTAGTTGAGCAAAACTATGAAGTTAAATGTTTGTGGTTTCAAAGGCACTAAGTTGGACTTTGTAAAAACCATGAGGTATTTATAGATGATTTTATCATTGTCAAAACTTCTTGAATGAGGTAAATTTATGGGGTTATGGTTATGAAAATTGCTCACATTTTGCCTCTCTTTTTTTTTTTTTTGTCAATAATTGAAGTTTACTTTTAGCTTTTTTCCACATAAGATTTGAAGTGCTTATATTTCATTTCACACAACTTAGAACTATAGCTTAAGAGATCTATTGAAATTGTTGATTAATGGAAAAAGAAAGGCTTTCACTACCTAAGTTTTAGCATTGAGAAGGGGATTTGGGTCATGGGGCAATGATTAGGTTAAGCCAAACTATATCTACTACAAATGTGGATAATAGATAAGATTTGGAAGAAATTATTGAAAAGATTGTGTCCAATGCTATGAACAATGTGATGTAAAAAAAATTATATGCCTTTATTATGGCCTAGCCTCTGTTGATTCCAAAATCAAGAAGTTTAGGGCTTTTACTATATATATGTTCTTGATTCCAGTGTTTATATGTATGTTGTTTAAAGGGTTGTTGTAACAGCCATGATATGGTACAACTTATTTTGTTTTAAATAGTGTTCAAAGCAATGGTATGGTACAGTAGAGCATGAGTTATTAGGTGCTTTATAGTTATATATAATAACCAATATTTTGAAAATGTGATTGGATAACATACTTATTTACCTACTAACAAAACATATTTAAACCCTATCGTTTAATGGAAAATAACTCTCTTCTATTTGTAATTCAATACCATTGATTGGATTGCATATAAATGGATCATAATTTGTTAAATTATAACCATTTTGCCAATCCATTACTACAAAATACAACAATTCTTAATAACTAATGCACTTGATAAACAACACCTAATTAGTTCATACCAAAATAAGTTTTATTGGTGCATAAACACTAAATGTCATTAACATGCAACTAAAGTTTTAAGTTTTGGAGAGCATAACCAAAAAATGTAGCTACATAACACTCTCTCATGCTTCCTCCTTCCCTTTTGTTGAAGTGCTCATTTGTTCTAAACTTATTTGGACTTCTCGTGCTATGGTTAAGCAACATGTTTGCAATACATCTCAAACACTCAAGCACACAATAGAAAACTAATTATAAATATTAAGAATTAACACTTTTGCGTACACTATCATCAAGCTTTCTTTTTGCTTTTGTTTCTCTTAGTACTAATGCCTCTCCCAAATTAGAATTAACACTTTTGGTAACAACCTTTTTTTTTTTTTTTGTGCTTGAGTTGCAAAAGTACGTGTTGTTTTTAATTTCTATAATGTGTTTGAACCCTTTATTACTTTGTTTTAACTTACCATCAAATTATCAAAACTTATATATGTTATCATTTAGTATTGAAGCATAAAAATAAAACCTGTAATTACACTTTACATAGGTTTCACTAGGTCATATTTCTCTTTTATCTGTGTGGACATTTAGCTTTACTATACATGTTTTAACAACACAACCTACAACTCATCATAGATCCATGCTTTGATAAATTGATTAATTTCTGCCGTGTGATTTTCTTTGGTTCATATTTATCTCTCGTTCTATTCCTTTCTAGGCAACCTAGCATTGATCTCATAGCATGTGGTTAAACATCATGCTTCTTGCATTCTCTTTAATACTTCATACCATCTTAGGCATTCCAATGGTGTCCCATAAGTCTGAAGGTATTTCTCCTTCTTATAATACTCATAAACAAACTAATAAAAAATCCAATGTCTATATCTAAAAGCACAAAGTGCATTATGAAGGCAATGAATTCCAATAAGATCCCACTCTTTGCATGAACATTTTCTTTCCTTAAGATTAAGCACTTGTGCAGCGTAAGTATGCTCATCAAATATAGAAAAATCAATGTCCCAATTCCACCTAACATTACATTGCATTGATTGGTCATTATATTCATTTATATTTTTTAGACAACTTAACGTGCAATATCAATAACTCATGTCTCAACAAATAAGTTTTTATCTTTGAATGTTTCCATGAATTGATTAATCAAAGTTCTAAACATGGAAATTATAACCTTGCATTTTGCCCCTAAAATTCAAAAATTGAAAGTTCAACACATATTTTTATCAACAACATCAATCTTACAATGTTATCAACGAAGACCTTACACCAAATATTACATTGTAATACATTCATTTCATCAAAAGCTTCCTCAAACAATGCCCTCAATGCCTCCATTTTGTCCAAATACTCTTAAGTGATTTATTGCTCTAGCACAGAGCCAACAAGCAAGCCTGATATCATCACCTCTATGTCTCATTGCAAGATTACAGTATTGATACCTAACATAATATTTGTGCTTTAACAATGATAATACCTCTACCCTTGCACCAATAATACCTTACAAATTTCCAAGGAAAAATTGAATTCCAATGAGTTTTTCATGTTGTGACTTAAGGGAAAATTTAATCAAATGTAAGGGTGGCTCAGTCATTCATGAGGTGCTAATAGAGCTTAGGTTTGATAAACAAGGCACCTCATTTAATGCACTAGAGTGCCATCAACTAGCACCATTACTATGCTAATACTGGTGCTAGTCTAGCACATCATGACTAAGGCCATACAGGGCTCACAAGGCTCTAGCAATCAATTGCCACACCAACATATAAAAGTGTTACATAAGGTTCAGTGTAACATTCTATGCCAATGTAATATCCCAAAATTTGACATTTTAGATATATATATATATACACATGAATACACTAGTAAAAGTGAATTTAAATTTAAGTTAAGGACTTATGTGGTAAAAATTAGGTTAAACCCCTATTTTGGTCCCTGAACTATTGTACGGGCCCCCAATTTGGTCCCTGAACTAAAGAAATCCCTAATTTGGTCCTTGAACTATTGTACAGACCCCTGAGTTGATCCCTAAACTATTGTACGGACTCCCAGGTTAGTCCCTAAACTATTGTACGGATGCCCAATTTGGTCCCTACTGTTTACCAATTTAACCCCAACTTGGTCTTTCTGTTAAATAATAGCTGAGGGACCAAATTGGGGCAAAATTGTAAACAATAAGGACCAAATTAGGGGTCCGTATAATAGTTCAAGGACCAACTTAGGCCAAATTATAAACAGTGGGGACCAAATCGGGGGTTCGTACAATAGTTTAAGGACCAAATCAGGGATTTCTTTAGTTCAGGGACCAAATTGGGGGTCCGTACAATAGTTCAGGGACCAAAATGGGGATTTAACCTAAAAATTATTATTGCTAGGCCTAATGACCAAAATTTACAAACTTGAGAGGGGGTTAAAAGAAAAATCTAGTCATAAAAGGGGCTAAAGTTGATTTCCCTTTTTCTCTCCTTGCCTTTTTGTGTTTCCCCACAACCCCATCACTAGAAAATTTCTTACAAACCCTAGCTTGTGCCTAACTCTTTCTCGTCAGAAATTAGGTGAGATTTAGCTCTTCTTCTTCTTCCCAAGTCTAATTTAGAGATTTATAGGCTTATGTTTCTAAAAATCATGATTAAACCTACGTATTACTGCTAATATGTTTCCAATTTCCTTGGTCTGTGTCGAGTAAATTAAGCAATGTAGGAGGTTGCTATTTTCCAGTAAGAAATCAACCACATTGCTCATCTTTTCATCTTTGATTTGAATTGGGTTAACTCTAATCCTTTAGGGTTTTAATTTGGGAGTTGTTTATGTAGTTTCCCTTTTTGATTTTTTCCAAAATCTAGTGCCACCAGATCTAATCTCTTTCGCTGGGAATTTTTGGCATGACCTTGTATAGTATTTTGCTCATAACTCTTTCTATAGTTATCAGATTAGGTCCATTCTTGATTCTATGGAAAATTAAGAGATAGCCCTATAATTTTTCTGTTGGACATTTAACCTAGTTAAACTATTTTCAAGGTCAAAACTCTACTACAAATTTGGTTCTTGAAGGTGGATGGAATTGTCAACCCAACCGTATGTTACTATTATGACCATAACTTTCTTTGTAGATGTCAGATTAAGGTGATTCTTAATCATATAGAAAGCTAAGACATAGGGTTATAATTGATCAGTTAACCATTCAACCCATATCAATCAATTTCTGGGTGCAAATTTTGTTGAAACTTCCAATTCAAAATCTGCCCAAAACTTGCCCTCAAAAGTATTCAGAAATTTGCTCTGTTTTTTGCTTTATTCCCACATTACCTACTGTCACATCACATTGTGGTTTTACTAACCTTTTAATTGATGTTTTTCTACTTTAAAACCCCTTATTATTGCTTTATTTTGTTGTGTTATTGCTTTATTTTTCTGCCTCTTTGCTACTACATGTCGACTTAATACTGCCCATTTCTACTTAGTTTTGGCTTGTAGTCTACCTTATTTTGTTGCTGTCATTTTGCCTAGAAGTCCCTATTGTTCAAAGTGTTTTTTTAGACCTTTTTGGATTCTTTCAATAGTGGAAAGCCTTACTTTACTGCCCAATATTTCTGTTGGTGTCTAGGATTGTTTTAAGCTCGGTTTCTCATATTTTTCTAGTTTGTTTTGTTCAAAAAATTTGCTTGGTAAATCCACCATATGTAATGTCTTTTGGAGCTATTTTAAACATATTAATATATTAGTAAGGTTTCAAAGGGGAGAGGTGATCAGGAGGTGTAGAAGGAAGTTGTTTCTTTGGTTAGGAACTGGATTCTAGAATTAGAAACCAAATTAGTTAAATGGAGTATGTTGTAATCTTGTTTATCCATTGATGTGGTATAGGTTCTAAATTACCTCAAGTGCCTTGAGTTCTTGAATTCTTTGCTTGTTATATACCTACAAGGTAAGATAAGTAAAATTGTGGTAAATGTCCTTGGGTTTTAAGGTAAAGGTTTTAAAAGCATATTTTGAACTATTTTTGAGATGGTGGCAGAACCTAAATTGATTTTTATTTGCACAAGAGCATGATTGGTTTGAAATGAAGTTATTATTATTTTTATGGAGTTGAGCATACTTACATGGAGTTTAGCTGATTATCTTGATGATCTGAAATTTGTTTGGAAATTAGAAATTTTCCTATAAACTTCTGCATATTTGTAAATGATGGATTTTCCTATTGAACTCCTACATGGTCTTGTCTCCAATATGGTCATGATTCTTGAAACTCGCCAGTGGAAGTTGTAAACGCTAGCACATGTTGACATGTATATTTGTAGGATCGGTTCATTCTGTATTCATGTTATTCCTGCTAGTGGGTTAGTACACTGGTTATTTTTGTTATTCTTACCAACGAGATAGTACAATAGCTATTCCTGACAGCAACTAGTAGGAGTTTGTTAAACATTGGTCATGACTAATTGAGGAGACATTATTGAGTTTTACTTTACATTAATGGTTTATAACTGAAATGTTCTTTTGGTTTATGTTTTAAATTATTTATCTGGCATGCTTGAACCTTAAATAAGGGTTACCCATATTTTCACTTACTAAGTTATCTCACATAGTTTTTTCTCATCCACCAATTCAGGTAGTGAGACTAGAGGCACGAGAAACCAAGGAAAATGATGAGCTAGAAGGCTAGCCACTTATATTTTGGACTTAGTTCATTTTGGAGATAGAACCGCTAGACTAATCTTGTTGGACTTAGATTTTTGAAATGTAGATAATTCTTTTGTAGGCTAAATTCCCTTGGAAATAGTCATGACCTTATTGATGGAGTTATATAATTTTATGCACTTTTGGCCTAGTCAAACTTTAGTTATTAAAAGCTAGATTTATTTCAAGATATTGATCTTAGTTAATGGATTGCCAAATGTGAATTTAATAGGTTCTGAGTCTTGTGCATTTCTAAGAGACTCTCACAAGTGCACGACATTTGTTTTGCTCCTGGATTTAGGGCATGATAGCCAAAATGCCCAAACACCATTAGTTATGTTGTCTGCTTTGGTATGCCAAAATGGGTCTCACAGCTTTAAAAGGCTTAACTAAAGTGGTGGGTCTAAACTTATAAACTCAAGATCCCTCCCATGTGAGACCAATGTAGAATTTCGGTGTGGACACATCCCCATAGGTGTTGGTACCTCTTATGCGATGGTTCTCATAAGAGGTACAAGGCCAAAATCTATTTGAGTGTTTATGTGAAAAAAAAAAAAAAAAAAAGAAGAAGAAAGGAAAAATGCAGTACTTGCATGCATATGTTGTTGTAACCTGTGATGCACCTAGTGCACTAGTGTAATAACAAGAGTTAACATAACAATGTTAACACCTTAATCCTAGTTACAAACTAGGTGTAACACCTATCAGACAATTAAATAAAATACTATAAATAAAATATTAAATTTAATTAAAATAGGTTTTAGGGTTAATTTGTAATTTCACAATTAAATTTTATATTTTAACTTATTGTTATTTGATTTAAATTTTAGAGTTTTGTTTTAGTCATCTTGATTTTAGAATTTTATATTATAATTATCTACTCTTCTTATTCGTGATAAGTGAAATTACAATTATACCCCTATTTTTAAATTATAATTTTAAAGTAATGATACATGTCACATCTTTAAACCAAAGTGTATCAAACATCATATGTCTATAAGTAGGATCTACAAGTGTACAAAGTTCAGAACCTATTTAATACATTATGCAGCAATCCATACCTTTTAATAGTCCACTAATGATGAGAACCCTAAAGAGAACAATGAGACCCACAGCACAACAACGGATTTCTAAACTCTAGAAAAGCCAAATCAAGTTTATAATAGGACCTTGACCCATTGTTTACGTCGCAACAAGAACCAAAGGTAAAAACCTTGACCCGTTGTCTATGACGCAACAAGAACCAGAGGTATAAAGTTGATTGACGCCACACCCTCGAACGATTAAGAACAAGAATGATAAGTCAGGTTAGAATGCCACAAGAATAATCTTGATAAGTTCTATAAAGTTCTGATACGAACCAAAGAGAAAAGTCTTTCAAAATCTCAAATTCAATAGCCTCTTCCCCATTAGGGTTACAAGCCTTTTAAATAAAGAAAACAAATCCTAATCAGAATAGGAAATTAACACCCTAAGTCCTAAACCTAATAATCACGAATTGGGCTTCAAATAAGCGAATCTTCAGCCCAAAAATAATACAAAAAATGTGAAAATCACTAAAAATAACCTACAATAACATGAAATATCAGTTTTCTACAAATTGCGGCAGAATTGTGCGATTTTGACGCAAACTTTGTAATTCCGTGCAAATGACCTCAACTAAGCTTCTCTTGAACCTGAATGATGTTTACTATGCCTTGATAATCATCCAAGCTTCGATTTGCTTGTTGTATGTTGTTTTCAACCCAAATCTACTCAATAAGGCCATTTAAAGCTTCACGCATCTTCTTAGCTCTAGCTCGCATGACTAGACCTCCTTGGGTGTGTAATGGATCACATGACGTAGTAGATATGCTGTCGTCTTGATTCCCATCATTCCCTCTCTCCTCAAAAGGATTTGTCCTCAAATCGTCACCTATATCAAAAGGAGAAAGATCAGAAACATTAAAAGTAACACTAACATTATACTCACCAGGAAGCTTCAACTTGTATGCGTTGTCATTAATCCTCGCAATCACTTGAAATGGTCCATCACCTCTTGGTTGCAGCTTAGAACGCCTTTGTGCAAGGAATCACTCCTTGCACATATGCACCCAAACCCAATCTCCAGGTTTAAATACAACTTTCTTGCGTCCTTTATTGGCTTGTTTTGCATACTGCTCAGTTCGTCGCTTTATGTTTTGCCGCACCCTCTCATGCAGTTGCTTAACCACTTCAGGTTTCTTTTTCCCATCCAAACTAGCCTGTTCATCAATAGGTAAAGGCAATAAATCTAAAGGAGTGAGTGGATTAAAACCATATACAACTTCAAATCGTGAACAGTTAGTTGCTGAATGGACGCTCTGATTATAAGCAAATTCAACGTGCGGCAAACACTTTTCCCAGCTCTTCAAGTTCTTCTGAATAATAGAACGCAATAAGGTTGACAACGTCCTATTAACCACTTCTACTTGTCCATCAGTTTGTGGATGACAAGTAATCAAAAATAGTAGCTTAGTTCCCAGCTTTCCCCACAATGTCTTCCAAAAGTAACTCAAGAATTGACATCGCGATCAGAAACGATGGTCCTTAGAATGCCATGTAAACGAACAACATCCTTGAAGAATAGATCCGTAATATTGGTTGCATCATCAGTTTTATGACATGGAATGAAGTGTGCCATCTTCGAGAACCTACGAGATAATGCATCAGCCATAATGTTTTCCTTTCCTTGCTTATACTTGATCACATAGGGAAACGTCTCAAGGAATTCCACCCACTTAGCATGTCGTCTATTCAACTTACCTTGTCCCTTCAGGTGCTTCAACGACTCATGATCAGTATGTATCACAAACTCCTTAGGCCAAAGATAATGCTGCCATGTCTTTAAAGCTCTTACCGATGCATACATCTCCTTGTCATAAGCAGGATAGTTCAGTGCTGCACCAGTCAATTTTTCACTGAAAAACGCAATAGGTCGCCGCTCTTGCATCAAAACAGCACCAATGCCAATACCTGATGCATCACATTCAATTTCAAAAGTTTTAGTAAAATCAAGTAAAGTAAGTAATGGTGCAGAAATTAAATTTTCCTTAATTAAATTGAAAGCATTCTCCTGTTCACTTTCCCACTTAAATCCAACACTTTTTTTCACAATTTCAGTTAACGGTGTTGAAATTGTGCTAAAATCCTTGATGAATCTCCGGTAGAAACTTGCCAAACCATGAAAACTCCGCACCTTAGAAATATTTGTAGGTGTCAGCCATTCTTTAATAGCCTTAACCTTTTCTTCATCTATTGCAATTCCATCAACTGAAACAACATACCCTAAAAAAACAATCTGATTTGTGCAAAATGAACACTTTGTAAGGTTAGCAAACAACTTTTCTTTTCTCAACACCTCTAGTACCATTCGCACATGCTCAATATGTTCAATTAAACTCTTGCTATATATCAGAATGTTATCAAAATAAACAACCACAAATTTGCCAATGAAAGCACACAAAACATGATTCATTAATCACATGAATGTACTAGGCGCATTAGTTAATCCAAATGGCATAACTAACCACTCATATAAACCATGTTTCGTTTTAAAGGCTGTTTCCCATTCATCTCCTTCCTTCATCCTAATCTAATGATATCCACTCTTTAAATCAATTTTAGAGAATATGCAAGAACCATGCAACTCATCTAACATGTCATCTAATCTAGATCATGGTGAATGCATCTTCATCATTGTCATCAAGATCATGATTATGCAAATTTGGACTTCTATTCTATATTTGGTATAACTTGGCAATGGCTGCATCTTGCTTCTCCATTTTGTCTTTAATTTCACCAAACATGATGTCTAGCCTCTGAAATTGTTGTTGCATAGCTTTGAGCATAAAGGAATCATCCACTTGGTGTTTTCTGTCATCACCGCTTGACATGATTGAAACCTGCAAGGAATGTTAGAAACAGAAAATAAAAGGACCTCTCAACACTCACTTACATGTTTCACTCCACTCTCTCATAGAATGGCACTCAACGCTCATGTTTTGCACACTATAGAACTTGGCTTTTCTTTCAAGTATTGCTCACACCTCTTGCCTTTTTCCCTCACTTAACTTTCCTCTTTCAGTTCATTATTGAACTAAACAAGATCAATTCAAGTTATTTTGCAACAATCTAACTCCAACAAATCTACAAGAGTTAAAGGAAACAAAAAAACACAAAGGAACGACCAAGAAAAGCAATAAAAGAACCAACCCAAACAAATTAAAATGAACAGATCAGTTCAAGCACTTCCTAGTAGGAATTGACTTGACTATTCCTTAATGCAGTAGGATTCCTAAGTTAGGAAGGAATAAAAAAAATTGCTATCTCCTTCTTTGAATAGAACTCAAAGAGAATTTCCAACTCCTTATTGGAGTAGAATTCATTCTTCTTTAAGAATTTGGCCATAGATTTATTCTCTATGTAAGGAATTCCAACCATAGAATTGTGTTGCTTGTTTCTCTCTCTCCTTTTTTTTTTTGGCGATCCTCTTCCTTTTTTTTTTTGTTGTATGACTTTTTTCTTCTTCTTTTTTTCATGCCTTTGTCTCTCTCTCTTTTTTTTTTTTAAGATAAAAACTAAAAATTAAAGATACGCAAACCTGATTTAGGGATCTGATGCTCTGATACCAAGATAATGAGAACCCCAAAGAGAACAATGAGACCCACAGCACGACAAGGGATTTCTAAACTCCAAGAAAGCCAAATCAAGTTTATAATAGGATCTTGACCCGTTGTTTATGTCGCAACAAGAACCAAAGGTAAAAACCTTAACCCATTGTTTATGACGTAACAAGAACCAGAGGTATAAAGTTGCTTGACGCCACACCCTCGAACGATTAAGAACGAGAATGATAAGTCAGGTTAAAACGCCACAAGAATAATCTTGATAAGTTCTATAAAGTTCTAATATGAACCAAAGAGAAAAGTCTCTCAAAAATCTCAGATTCAATAGCCTCTTCCCCATTAGGGTTACAAGCCTTTTAAATAGAGAAAACAAATCCTAATAAGAATAGGAAATTAACACCCTAAGTTGTAAACCTAATAACCACGAATTAGGCTTCAAATAAGCGAATCTTCAGCCCAAAAATAATACAAAAAATGTGAAAATCACTAAAAATAACATAAAATAACATGAAATATTAGTTTGCTACAAATTACGGCAGAATTGTGCGATTTTGACGCAAACTGTGTAATTCTGTGCAAATGACCTCAACTAAGCTTCTCTTGAACCTGAATGATGTTTACCATGCCTTGATAATCATCCAAGCTTCGATTTGCTTGTTGTATGTTGTTTTCAACCCAGATCTGCTCAATAAGGCCGTTTAAAGCTTCACGCATCTTCTTGCTCTAGCTCGCATGACTGGACCTCCTTGGGTGTGTAATGGATCACATGACGTAGTAGATATGCTGTCGTCTTGATTCCCATCAACTAAAATCCATAATTATAAAAGTCTACTCAAATCCATTATAAAGTAAATAATCCATATAGACAAAAATCTATAGTTGGAAAACTAGCCAAGTTAGATTGTGCATAATCTCCAAAATCATCAAAAATTATCTAAATACATCCGTATCAAAAATCTAAGTATCTAATTCTCAATCCATCAATAAGCCATCAAATATCTAACTCGCCACACCCCTTGCTTCCCAATGTCTCCAGTCTGATTATCTAAAATATGGACAAAAAAAAAAAGACATAAGATAACTCAATAAATAAATTACGTGTAACTCCATTTAAATAAATTTTTATTTTATTTTATTTTATTTTATTTAAAAAATGCCAGATATAGGTGATCAACTAGAACATCAACTATAAATAGTGATATTTCAAATTTATTTAATGGTTTTCTCAAATAATCATGGCTAGCATTAATGTTTTTACTCCATTGATAAGATAACAAGAATAACTAGTGTTTATACTACCATTAGTAGGATAACAGAAATAACCAATGTTTACTCTCCCATTGGTAGAAAAATAGGAAAAACTAATGTTTACTCTCCCATTGGTAAGATAACAAGAATAACCAATGTTTCTCCCATTAACAAAATAACAAAAATAACCAGTGTTTATATTTCCATTGATAGGATAATAGGAATCATAACAAAATCAAAGACAATACAATGTAGGCATTTAAACAAGAACATAATTTAAATTGTTTCAATAGCTATGTTTCATGAAAAAGGCATGCTTAAGCTTCAATGAACAACAATTATGAAACTTAATATCAAAGCAAGCCATATTCATATCAACATAAATAAGGTCACATCCTACCAAAACAGCTAAAAAATATGCTTTTAAAACTTAGTAAGACTGAAAATTTACTTACCTCACTTCATAGAGAACTAAAATTTCCTCAAGAACGGAGAATTAGGATATCAAAGATATTTAAGAACCAAAGAGTAAAGACAAAAAAAATAAAACCAAGGACTACAAAATTGGACACCAGATTAGCAAGAGTTTGAGGGCAAGTTCTAGTTAGATTTTGAACTGAAACTTCCAACTAAATTTGCACCTAGAAATTGATCAAACAAGGCTAAATGGTTAACAAATCAATTGTAACCCAATGTCTTAGCTTTTTATAGGGTTAAGAATCACCTTAATTTGAAATCTATAAAGGAGATTATGACTAGATAACTAATAAAAGGTCATGGGTTAATTCAGATAAAAAATGAAACTTTTTTCTTTCTTTCTTTTATTTGAATTACCCACATGAGAGCTAATTCTTTTGCTTTATATCTTCCAATAGCTTTTCAATCTAATAAAACAACAACCAAATAAATTGGAAATTGGTTAAATACTAAATTTGGTCCCTCAACTTTAGTGAGTTGCAAATTTTTGGTCCCTTAACAATTTTTTGCACTTTTTTGATCCCTTAACTCTAAGAAATGCACTCCATTAGTCCTTCTGTCAATTTAAATCGTTAACTACGACATATGGCATTTTTTATAATTTTTTTGATGACATGGCAAAAATAATTTAAAAAAGCGTTGATTTGGAATTTTTTTTTAAGGCACGCCATCGTCAACTAATCCAACTCATTGCCAACTCATAAACCGATTTTACCTTAAAAAAATAAAAAATTATAAATTTACCCATCTCTTTTTCTTGATCCAACTTCTTCCCCTCTTTCGATCATCTTCTTCCTTTCTTTTTTTTCTTTTTCTTTCTTCCTCTTCTTTCTTCCTTTTCTTCCTCTATGTCTGCTGGGTTCCGATGAAACCCAGCTTCACTTTTTTGTTTTTTTTGTTTGTTATATGTTTGTTTGCGAAGAGATTATCCAAGTTGCAGGGTTCAAAATGGAGAGAACATAAGCAGTTGGGTAAAGAAGCAATTCTTAGTGGGTTTCCATTTGTTTGGCTGGAAAATGGTATGGTTTGGGTGTTTGGATGCTGAGAAAATGCTTTGAATTTGTTTGGTTGTCAAGATTGGCTACCGAGAAATTATAATGTTCATTAAAGAAATAAAAATTATAATGTCCGTTAAAGAAAGAAAATTTGGTGAAAATTTTGTGGTTTAATTATAAATTAATTTAGAATCTTAATTTTAATTAATATAAATAATTATAATTTAATGATAATTAATTAATAAAATT